GAAGGCTGAGGTGGAAGGACCGCCAGAGCCCAGCAGGTCGATGCTGGGGTGGCTGTGAGTGTGCCACTGCACTCCAGCCTGGCCGGCAGAGTGAGACTCCAACTCAAAAAAAAAAAAAATAGAGAAGAACCAGGCACCTGAAGGGCACTGAAGCTTAGGACTTAGCCCCTGGGGCCCTCTTCCAGGAAACTTCCAGGGTAGCTGGGCTCAGAGAATCAGGCTAAGGGCTTGGGCAACGTCAGGCGAGGGGGGCAGGTCAGTGTACTTTCAGAGGGCACCCTTTGGGCCTGAACCGGTCTGGGTTTGACTTCTGGGACCTGCCCTTGGTGTCTGCAGGACTTTCGGGAAACTGCTTATCTTCCCTGCGCCCCACCTGTGATGGGGGATAGTCACGGCACGTTCCTCGCAGTGCTGTGGTGAGGACTAGGACCACGTGTGTGAGAGAGTGAGCATGGCCGGTGAGTTCCACAGCCCCGCTCGCTGCAGAGAGAGGGAGCCTAGGCCGGAATGAGCCTGTCTAGCCCGGGCCAGCTGGTAACAGCTGGTCTTGGGCCTTGGGTGCCCTGTGCTTGGGGTGAGAGACGGGGAGACAAATCCCACCCAGCTCTGCCACCTACTAGTTTGGACAACTTGAGACAGTCTGATAAATTTTTTTTAAAAAGTTCCTACCCGTTATAGGGGTTTTGAAAAGTAGATGACATTATGTAGTCAAGTGTGCAGGGTCAGTTCCAAGCTCTAGTCTGATGAAGTTCTATTTATTTGTTTACTTATGTATTGAGTCAGGGTCTTGCTCTCCTGCCCAGGTTGGAATGCAGGGGTACCACACCTCACTGCAGCCTCAACTTCCTGGGCTCAGGCAACGCTTCTGCCTCATCCTCCTGAGTAGCTGGGACTACAGGTGTGTGCCACCATACCTGGCTAATTTTTTTTTTGTAGAGATGAAGTCTTGCTATATTGCCTAGGCTGGTCTTGAACTCCTGGGCTCAAGCAATCCTCCTGCCTTGGCTGCCTAAAGTGCTGGGATTACAGGTGTGAGCCACTGTGCCCGGCTGATGACCTTTTAGCAAGAGAAAACGGGTTGCTATTCATGAGGACTCGGGTAGGAAGGAGGGAAAGCCAGGTGTAGGCCGTCTTGGTGATCTGTTTATTTCTCACCAACACTTGTTTCCACAGTATAATTCAGAGAATAGAGGCACACGGCTAGAATTTTCACCACAATGAGACATTTCGTGGGACGTGGGCTTGTGGGGGGGTGTCTGGGTCACAGGGTAGCTGAGGCCTCGGTGATGACTGTGCAGGGATCCTGTCAGTCAAGGTCTATCCTAGGCCTGAAGGTCAAGCTCACGCTTGAAGAGTTCCAGTGAACCGAAAGCAAGGAGCCAGTGCTCTTCCTGCTCACCGCAGTCCTGGGGGGGGGGTGTTGGACTATACCAAGACCCCAGCCCAGGGGTGGAGGGGTGTCTGATGGACTGGTCCACTGGGGAGAAGACAGGTGGGCCTGAGCCGTCCCTGCGGGTTCCGTTCACTCTGTGACAGGGCCTGAAGTGTCCTGAATATTCCGCCCTCACCCTGGAGTTAAGTCAGGAAGACACGTTATAAGATAACCGTTTACATCGGCTTCTTCTTGACTATCCGTTAGGGGGCCCTGGCCCATGTCTAAGGAAGGGGAGAGGCACAGGTGGGATCACCTGCTGTCACCCAGGGCAGGGGGCCAGTCTGGAGAGGAGAACACACACTTACCCTCCCGGGGAGTAAGCAGACGGGAACACCAGCATGGTCAGACAGTGGCGGCCGCAGCCACGATTCCAGCCAGCAGCGAGTGAGGGGTAACGTACAAGAATCTGACCTCGGTCTCCACAGGACTCCTGTACTGTCTAGTCCACTCCTGCCACTTCCCTAATTTCTCCAGGGTAGCACAGAGCACCCCGTTGGGGCTAGGACCACCCACCCTAAATATAGGCAAAACAAGGAGATTCCGGATCCCTCAGCAGAACACAAAGTAGAAGGCTGCGGCAGGTCTGTGCTGGGAAGCCAAGGTCTTGGGAACAGAGGGCACTAACATGTGGGCAGAGGTGGCGCCTCGGTCCCCCAGCACACAGGGTCAGGGAAAGACAGACCCGCTAACACCTGCTGCGAGGTCTGCACACCAGCGTCCTCGGCGCTCTTCCGTGGTCACATTCTGGACCAGCAGGGGATGGGGCACACGAGGCCTCCGTTCCATGGTTGCCACCAGTTCAGCTCAGCTCTGGTCTGTCCGTCCACATGACTGACCACAGGGCGTTGGCTCTGGCCGACACGTGCCGACTGGAGCCCGCCTGTCAGGCCGTGAGGTTCCTGGCTGACTTGGATGCGCTCTGGGCCCGCTGCACTACAGCCAAGCACTTCTCCCGCCGCAGAAGCTTGTTGTTCTCAAACAGGCCTTCATTGCGGGGGATTCCGTGAGAACCGTCAGGGAAGGTCAGCAGGCCTTTGTGGGGACAGAGAAAGTAGGGTGTGACGATGGTATTCCCGTCTCAGGGGTCAGCTGGAGAAGAGAAAGACTGGCAGGTCTGCTCAGAAGGGCTCTTGGTGACCCCAGCATGCGTCACCACCAATGACCGGCATCCACAAAAGGCTCAACCACCAAAACGGCGCATCTCCAGCCATATGACACCCAGTCTCCCGTCCCGCCGAGCGGCAACTTACCAAAACCGTCAACTCTGCCATTTTTAAACTCCCCCTCAAAGGTCATGTTGTCGTGTCGAATAAAGACGCCGACGCCGTTAAACTTGCCCTGGGCGAACTCCCCCTCGTACCTGCAGAAACACCAAGAAGTTAGCCCTCAGTGGGGATCAGCTATCCAGGAGACAAGTCAGCGCTGCTGCCATGTGCTACTCACTGATGCCGGGGCGATGTGGATGCCACCTGTCTCGGAGCTCCTTCCGCCCCCACCTGTCCCCAGCCAGCAGAGAAGGAGCAGAGGGCACATGTGACATGAGGCCCCCATCTCAAGGAAGGAAGATGGAGGGGGACAGAGTGAGGCGGAAGGTCACTCACCTCCTTGACATCTCACAGTTTATCGGGCAAAACGACCAATAAAAAAACTGCTCACTCCTCGCCTATGCCCTGCAGGGCCTAGGGCAGGCTCAGCGTTGACCAGACATTGACCAGTGTCCCGTTGGGATGTCAGTGCCTCCCTAGTCTAAGGCTGAGGACAAAACGACCTCATACCCACCTGGAGCCATCTGAGAAGGTCAGCACCCCGAAGCCATTAAAGAGCCCGTTCTCAAAATGACCCAGGTAGGTGCCACCATCTGCAAACATCAGTTGACCAAAACCGTGTCTGCGGCCTGAGCAGAGAGAAGCAGAGGTGTCAGGTAGGAATGGGGTGGCCCCAGGGTCCCATCTCACCCCTCCAGCATCCCATCCTCCTATCACCTAGGAAGCACCCTAGGAACATTAATGGGCCGAGAACTGTCATCTAGCGTCAGGTGCTGGAAAAATCTGGCTCCTGGGCCTTCCCATCTTGACACAACCATCAGATTGGAGCAGGTCGCCACAAGGATGGATGACAGGAGAGCACTTAGAATACTAGCTAACAGTGGGGCTTGGTGGCTCAGCCTGTAATCCCAGTACTTTGGGAGGCCGAGGTGAGCGGATTGCTGAACCCACGGGTTCAAGACCAGCCCGGACCACTTGGCGAGACCTCATCTCTACAACAAAAAAAAATGAAAAAATTAGCCGGGTGTGGTAGCATGTGCCTGTAGTTCCCACTACTTGGAAGGCTGAGGTGGAAGGATCGCCGGAGCCCAGCAGGTCAACACTGGGGTGGCCATGAGTGTGCCACGGCACTCCAGCCTGGGCGACGGAGTGAGACTCCAACTCAAAAAGAAAAAAAAACCCCAAAAAAAACACTAGCTAACACTTATGGTGCCTTCCTGTGTGCCAGCCACTCTACCAAGCATCTTGTGCTTGTCATCTTAGTCCTCATGACAACCTTATAGCATCAATAGGTACAGCCCTATTATCATTCCCAGTTAACAGATGGGGAAATTGAGGCAAGCTCACTCGAGATCACAGAGCTCCCAGTGGGAGAGCGACACCAGTGCAGCAGGCAGGTTGCCTCAGAGACGAGGAACAGCACCCGAGCTCTGTGGCGCCACAGGCAAGCCACCGGATGACCAGCAGTGCTAGCTTGAGCTCTGCCGTGTCAGGAGTGCCCTGCTTGCCCACGGAACTGACCAGAACACAGAGCAAGCTGCTGGGCGTCCTCACGGCCTTCGGGAGGGCCTGGGGGCATTCTCGCGGCAGATGGAGCCTGAGTGGCAGAGCCCAGGAAGGCTCTCCTCCGACAGGCCACATCAGAGGGGGACGGCAGGTATTTGGGGGCAGGAGCAGAGGCTTGGGACTGAAGGAGGCAAGGGTGCACCACCTCTGTGCAATTCTCAAGGCTCACAGATTTAGCAGTTGCAGGGATCAAATGTGAAAATGAGCTGCGTGTCAGGCGACACCACGAACTGCCCTTCCCTCCCAAGCGCAAAGTCCAGTCTCCCTGGAGCAGCTCTGGGCTGGCTGGGGCTGGACCCATGTGACTTCAAAGTGGCCAGGCTGAGTTTCCAAACTGAATAGCAGTCAATTGCTTCCTGTACAGTCTCAGGCCCCAAAGTGCTTTCCTCTTCCTAGGAATAGTCACGTCCAGGCGTAATGAGCTGTCACAGGAAATGCAAGGCAGCGACTGTCATTTTCTGCCCTCATTTCCAGGTCTTCTTAACTCCTTAGGACTCCCTGGAACCACGTCATCGCAATAAATCCCAAACCCTCTAATTTATGGGCACTTAATCCATTTTACTCTGCTGGGTGCATTAGCGCTTATTAAAATCACTCCCAGATAATACCACTACAGCATGGAAGGGTGCTTCGACACTGTGGATTTAGAAGCAGAAAGACACTACTCATTCCTGGAGGCTGGACTGACTCTAATTCCTTCACTTAACCCCCAGATAGAATAAAGGAAAGACACCCTGAAATTAAGCCCTGGAGGCGGAAACGAGGCCTGTGAAGTTGGCTACATGTCCTGGTGACGTTTTCCTCCAGCAAGTGAGGATGCCTGGGGTCGTTCTCACCCTCCTTCCACTCGCCACGATATTCCTCGCCACTGGAGTAGGTGAAGGAACCTTTTGTCAGGGTCATGGTGGCAGCTCACAGGAGAAAGGAAGAACACTGCGGGAAGAAAGGCAGGAGAGCCAGTGTCATGGGCTGGCAGAGGAAAGGGTCACCTGGGAAGTGTATGCTATCTTGGCGGCATGGAACAAAGTCCTTACCTCTCCACTACCGCCCTCTCCACTTCTGCCAAGTGCTCTGATCCTCCTCCTGGCTTTTAGAGTTTTCTGCCATTTCCTGTTTCCTATGGCTTGGGATGGAGATGGAAGATTCATCTACGAATGCTCACCTGATACCTACTGTGTGCTCAGTTGATGTATAAAATATAGCCTGATGAGTTTCTAATCTAGTTGATGAGATTAACAATTGAATTATACCAGAGACAATGTAATTACATGCCAGTTTAGATGGCAGAGATTAACCAAGACAAGGGCTGGGCAGAATGTAGAACAAGCAGTAGAGAAGGCTGGGACAATTCCAGACTGAGAAAACGCCAAGGAATGAACACAAGCAGGACGACGTGAGCATGGAATGTTCCTGCGTGGGGTGAGAAGGCTGGTCTTCCTAGTGTGGAGGGTTTATTCAGGGAGTAACAGGAAGTAAGTTTGCGTAGGTGCACTCAGGCCCAAATCCGAAATCTGGAAAGAGCCTCATGAATTCAGTCCACACCCTCTCATTTTACAGGAGAAACAGAGCCTAGAAGAGTTGTAAAGTTTGCTGGTGACCTCCCCTGACTATGGCTAGTCCTTTTTTCCTGGACAGCACAGCCTCTGCTTTTAGGTCAGGCTAGCTGTAAACAAAAAAAATTTTTAGAGGTAGGGTCTCGCTCTATAGCCCAGGCAGGAGTGCAGTGGCACAAGCATGGTTTACTGCAGCCTCGACCTCCTGGGCATGAGTAAGCCTTCCCAAACTAGCTTAGAGAGAGCTTTGAAAGCTAAGCAGGCTGGGTTCAATGGCTCAGCCTATAATCCCAGCACTTGGAAGGCTGAGGCGAGTGGATTGCCTGAGCCCGCGGGTTTGAGACCCGCCAGGCAACTTGGCGAGACCTCATCTCTACAATAAATCAAAAATTAGCCGGGCGTGGTAGCGCACGCCTGTAGTTCTGGCTACTTGGAAGGCTGAGGTAGAAGGATCGCCAGAACCCAGCAGGTCGAGGCTGCAGTGGCCGGGAGTGTGCCACTGCACTCCAGTCTGGGTGACAGAATGAGACTCCAACTCACACACACAAAAAGAAAGCTAAGCAGAGGAGTTTAGCTTTAGGAGAAAAGAGGATGCTTCTGCAAGTTTGTGAACATGGATGTGATGAAAGTGGTGCTTAAGGGAAATTAACGTGGCAGCAGGAAACAGGACGGGTGGAAGCAGCCATCTACAGTCGGATTGATTGAGGCTGGGCCTAGTGGCTCACCCTGTAATCCTAGCACTTTGGGAGGCCAAGGTGGGAGAACCACTTGAGCCCAAGAGTTCAAGACCAGCCTGGGCAACACAGGCCTCATCTCTACAAAAATAAAAAAATTAGCTGTGCATGCCTGTATTCCCAGCTACTTGGGAGGCTGAGGTGGAAGGACAGCCTGAGCCCAGGAGGGCAAGGTTGCAGTAAACCATCATTGTGCCACTGCATTGTAGCCTGGGGGACAGAGTGAGACTCCAATAGGAAAGGCGGGGGGGAGGGAGACAGACAGAGAGAGAGAGAGAGAGAGAGAGAGAGAAAGAAGAAAGAAGAGAGAAGAGGAAAGAGGAAAGGAAAGGGAGGGAAGAGAGGAAAGAAAGAAAAGAAAAAGCTTGCAAGGAGGAAGATATGGTAATTCTCCCTCCGCTCATGCCTCTGCAACGTGACATGGCAAATCCTCCCAAAGAGGCAGAGGGTATTCGTGCCTCCACCCGCTGGCTCTGGGCTGGCTCTGTGACTTGCTCCGGCTGATGGCTTGTTAGCAAAGGCGCCCGAGCAGAGGTGTGAGGGGCACCCGCGCACTGGGCTTGCCCTCCTGCAGCGCCTGGACCTGTTCTGCCCACGTGCGTGAGCCCAGTCCAGCCTACCGGATAGGAGCGCCTGTCCCAGCCGCCACAGACGCAAGGATGCGCTTGGACCAGAGGGCTTGACCAGAGGGCTGTCCCCTGAGCTCCAAACTAGTGACTCACAGAATCACAGAGTAACAAATAGTGGCTGTTTCAAGCCACTGAGTTTTGGGGGGGGTGTCAGTCACCAGCCCAAGCCAGTGTGAGTGCAGGGGATAAGAGTCTAAGGGGGCAGGAGTGACTGTGACAGACACATCACAGGAAAAAACCCAGTGGCATCTGGAGATTGGCGAGCTGTGCCTTCACAGCAGTGGAGAAAGGACGCTGTACTCAAGGCTACCCCGTAAGAAGGTGGGTAGCTAACACACCCAAAATATCATTCACAGAAACAGAGACTAATAGGATAGTATTTTTGATACACTAAAAAATGCAATCCCTATTTCTTTTTTAACCCCCGACATCTTTTTATTCACCCCTTCATCTTCACCTTTTGTTTATTTTCTTAAGTTGGAGTCTCACTCCGTTGCCCAGGCTACAGTGCAATGGCACGCTCACGGCCACCGCAGCCTCGACCTGCTGGGCTGCAGCGAGCCTTCTGTCGCAGCCTTCCAAGTAGCTGGAACTACAGGCATGTGCTACACACTCAGCTAACTTTTTTTTTTATAGTAGGGACAAGGTCTTACCTTGTCCAGGCTGGTCTTGAACCCGCAGGCTCAGACAGTCCTCTTGCCTTGGCTTCCCAAAGTGCTGGGATTACAGGCTTGAGCCACCGTGCCCGGTCTTTTGTTTGTTTTTTAGGGATGGGGTCTCACTCTGTCACCCAGGCTGGAGTGCAGTGGCAGAATCATGGCTCACTGCAGCCTTGACCTCCTGGGATCAAGTGATCCTCCTGTCTTAGCCCCCTGAGGAACTGGGCCTATGGGCGTGTGTCTCACTGGCTCAGAAGAGGAGGAGAGTCTTAAATCTCTGGTGACCTGGTACCAATGCCTTCTCCTTCAAGTCCCAGAGAAGCCAAAACCACGTCACGAGTTGTATTAGCCAGGCACAGTGGCTCACGCCTGTGATCCCTGCACTTTGGGAGGCCAAGGCGAAAGGATTGCCTGAGCCCCAGAGTTCAAGACCAGTCTGGCCAACATAGCGAGACCTCGTCTCTACAATAAATCAAAAAATTAGCTAGGCGTGTTGGCATGTGCCTGTAGTTCCAGCTACCTGGAAGGCTGAGGCAGAAGGAGTGCCAGAGCCCAGCAGGTCAAGGCTGCGGTGGCCGTGAGCGTGCCACTGTACTCCAGCCTGGGGGACAGATACTCCAACTCAAAAACAATAACAGGTTTTCATTTATATAACTCAGTCCTTCATGCTATATAGTTAAGCTTATTTCTTCTTATGTTCTCAGTGGAATATATATGGTAGCATAATAATAGGCAATAGTGGGTACCCAATAAGTATTTGCATGCGTAATAATTTTGTGAACCAGTTTTACTTACTCTGCTTTACCTTTGTCATAATAATTCACCTCAATTTTTCTCTTTTTTTTCTACCAGCATCTGCTTTTAAAATCAGGGAAAAAAGGCCAGGCATGGTGGCTTAAGCCTGTAATCCCAGCTCTTTGGGAGGCTGAGGTGAGAGGAATGCCTGAGCTCAGGGGTTTGAGACCAACCCGGGCAACTTGGCGAGACCTCGACTCTGCAATAAATCAAAAAATAAGCTGGGGGTGTGGTAGCGCACACCTGTAGTTCCAGCTACTTGGAAGGCTGAGGTGGAAGGATTGCCAGAGCCCAGCAGGTTGACGCTGGGGTGGCCATGAGCATGCCACTGCACTCCAGCCTGGGCGACAGAGTGAGACTCTGACAAAAAAAAAAAAGAGAGAGAGAGAGCCTGTATTGCCCTGGCTGGTCTTGAACTCCTGGGCTCAAACTATTCTCCCACCTCAGCCTTCTGAGTGGCTGAGATTATAAACCAAAATATCACTGTTTTTAAAATACATTATCTAATTTTGAGAGGACATGGACCATTATTATTATTATAAGCTTAAACAAAAAGGCATAATCATACTATATTATTTGTTAATCAGTTAAAAAGCAATAGCACAGCCATTTCAGCTCATAAAGCTTTCAACAAAACACACCTTGCAGGTGCTTGCAGTTTCAGAGGAAGCCAGCCTGAGTTACGGGAAAAACCACGAATTATAGCTGCCCCTTACCACTAACATCCCCCAGTGACAGCCAAGTACTGAAAGGTTATCTGCAAAAATTTCCAAATGTCTCAGCAACCTCCCCAGTTGACAGACCATGGTTAACCTGAGGTCGGCTAGAACCATAAGGGCCAATCAAGTACCAAGGACTCTGAAAGTCCCCCGCTATGCTCCCTCCCTTCTGTAACCACAATAAAAACTGCTTGTTTGAAGAGCTCGGAGCCTCTGTGTGAGCTCCGCTGCACCGGCTGCCAGCAGAGGTCCAGGCTCGAGCTTGCGAAATAAAAACCCTTTTGAAATTTCATCGGAATTGGCTCTTGGTGGTCTCTCGGATCGAACTCTTGGCCACAACAATTTCATCACACGACTTTACAAGGTGAGTATTATTATTATTATTCTTTCCACTTTACAGATGAGGAAACTGAGGTTCAGAGAGGTAAGCTAAAGTAACTATTCATAAGATCACGTGGAAGTTAGAATCGGTCCTAGCAGGTGACCTTGAGGTGAACAGGTTCTGCTAATAACACTGGCCTATCCTATCTGGCCTCCCAAGGATAATACAGTGGTACTGTAGACCCTGATAGCAGAAAGACCAGAGTTCAAATCCTGAATCACTGTGCAGCTGTGGGCAAGTTACTTAAGATCTTTACATCTGTTTCCTAATCTATAAAGTGGAGCTAATAGGCTTATTTCAGACTTGGCAGGTGGATTAAATTAACTAAGAGTCAGTGGATGACAGAAAAGAAAAAATAAATGAAAGAAATAATATAAATAACACACATGAAAATACCTGAAACTCTGCCTGGCCTTGTCCACTAAATGTTAATTTCTTTGCCCCCTTCAGAGAGTAACACTC